ACGACGCTTCCTGGAGCGAAGTCGGCCTTTTCGCTCACCTTCAATTCATTCATTCTCATTTCAATTTTTGGAAGACCTTCATTTTCAAATAGGGCCAGTTTCAGAGGGTGTCAGCTGGGCTCTGCGAAACAGAAGCACCTTCGGTCTGCGTTGGGATCCTGCCAGTGTCCTCTTTCTGCTTTACAGTCAAATAGTTCCCCATTTCTCGCGAGCCTTTGCCTCTCTCCAAGTGTCTTTCTAGTTTACTGATGGATTTTGTGTTTGCTGTTAATTACAATTGTCCCTGTTGGCTTTGAGAGGGTTAAATTTCTAACGCTCAGGTTTTGGTAGGGCCATTAATAGGCAGGATAGGAATATTATAGACACATCTTTGCATTTCAGAAGCCCAGGTATAAAGGCATACATGCAAATACAATAGCAGCTTATTGTCCAGCTAGAATCTAAAATGTGTTTATTGGAATATATTAATCACTGAATATTTTCTAGACTGTTCTGTGGGACCTGCGGCTATAGATACCTGCTTGGATTGAGAAGATACCTGGTAGGATCTCACCTGCGTAACAAAATCATCAAAATTATGCCCTAAACAAGATGGTCAGAAAACTAACACCTGCCAAAGGTTTCTGAGCAGGTGATTTGATGATGGCTTTTGAAGTTGGGCTAGGAGACCTTGACTCCTTACAACCCAACCTGCAGATCCATCATCTCCTTTGGGCCAGAGCTGCAAGTTCAAGGAGGTGGTTGGGTGGAAAACTCTTTCAGAAAAACGACTAGATAACCTTGCCTTCAATTTTAGTTGGTTTAAGCTGCTGTGGAGCTTCCTCCTCGGTTCCTTAGATAGGTGTGAAACAGATGCTTTGAAAACCTTCAGAGGGAAAGCCTGTCAGTCTAAGAGAGCCTAAAGATTTAATGGCGTGTGGCCTTTTTTGCTGCTTCAGAGCAGCAACATTGGAATTGCTTTAAACTTGGAATTTCTTTTTTTTCCTTTGGGGTTGTGGATTTTGGTTGTGGGTTTTGGGTTTTTTTTGGTTTTTCTTGCAACACCCCTCCCAAATGAGCAGGATTTTTCTGCTTGTGCTGATGGGATGAGGTGTTGATGCCAAGATCAGCCTATACACGCACGTCTTGCTAAACAAGAGGTGTACGGTGTACGCACTGCAGCTAATTATGAGTATTGCTTTCAAGTTTATTGCCCCCACAGAGTTTTGCCTCGGGCACTTTTTTTGCAGTGAGCTGACAGTGCTCTTTCTAAGCACTTTGGTCGGCTTATTCTCCTTCTGTCAGGATCCTTGCGTGGGCAAGAAGAGGTGGAAACAAAGCCAAAGCTTTTGATGAGGCGCGTTTGCAAAAGAACCTAAAGCTTTGCATGGCCCTATCTTGGGTGGGGATGTGAGCTGGGCCTTGAGCTAGTGACAACAGCAAGAAGGTTTATCTGATTTTTCTCAATACCTGCACGATGTTACTGTGTGAGCTGCCAGGCGCCGGTGTAACAAGATCCCATGTGGGCAAGCAGTTCTGAAGGCAGTGCTGTTCCCCATGCAGTCCACGTGATGTAATGAAAACATTGCTCAGCAATGTCTGGAGCAAGCAGGGTTGCAGAAATTCATCCCTTCGAGAGAAGAACAGCATTTTCTCCAGGAAGCGTACACAGGCACCACAATGAAGCTTTTTTCTTTGTTTTTTGTTTAAACTATTCACTCAAACTAACAGTCACTAAGATACCTGATTCGCTCTGTTCCTACCTCCATGGATGCTCTAGCTTTTGGTGAGCCGTGAAACCACGATTCCCAAGCTAAGGACTCTTCTCTCCTGTGGTGTCTCGGCGTTGTCCCCGTGCATGAAAGTGAATGGCTCCTCCAGCACGTGAAGCTGCTCTGGGGGGTCTGTCTGAGCATGTGTCCGAGCCTTCTGCTTTTCTTCCAGGTCCAGCAGCTGGAGAGGAAAGTCGCACCCGCCCTCCGTATCAGCGCAGCCTCCTGTTTTGAGGAGGGCTACGGTCCCCACGCCGCGTGCTGTCCCTGTTTCTCTGTGCTTTAACATGACCTTTTGCTAAACGTACAGTGACCTGTTCTCAGCCTTGAGATCTGCCTTCACCTCTTCTGATTTCTCCAGCCCTGTCATCGATGCTTGGCTTTGGCTAATATATTCACGGCAACTAATCTGATGCAACTTTGGGATCTGTACTTCGTGAGTCCTGCCTGGCTGATCGAGGAGGAGAAGGAGGAGAGCTGTGCCACTCTTCAGCGCTTCACAGCCGTTAGGGTCCGGCCCCAGCTCTGGACCCCGGCCCTGCGAAAGGTGAGGCTGACTCCTGCGGCAGGGTCTCCTCCCATGGCGGTGCTTTCGGTGGGGAAGCACTTTTGAGGAACTCTAGAGGGTTAAAACCACGTTTCTGAAACCAGCCTAGAGGAAAAGTCACATGCAGACGGGAAATTTTGCAAGTTGGTGCTTGCAGCTCGGGGTGATGAGCGGGAGCGTGTGGGCGCCGGCTTCTTCCCTTGGGTGAGCTCTGCCTGGCTGGTCCGTGGTCCCCGGCAGACGCAGGGAAGGGAGCGACCTTCCCCGGCACAGGCTGGGGCTGCGGCACTGCAGACCTCCCTGGGCGGTGGTGGGACAGCACGGCGCCTGGGCAGTGCGGAGCGGGACGGCGGCAGATAAAGGACAGTGAGGAGGAGGCGGAGGGGGCTGAGCCAGCTCCCTGGGGCGCGGAGGTGAGCCGGAGCAGGTAAGCCTCTGCCGGCCGCCCTGCAAGCGAAGCAGAAGGACTTGCCGAATGTTCCTCTGCTGTTCAGCTGGGGCTCGGAGGTGTCCTAAAAAGAGGGTCTGTAGCCCGAAGGAGGAGACGTTGGCATTGCATAAAGAATAAGAAGAGGGACACAGAGTCTGGGGAGTGCGGGAGACGAGAGGATGCCCCTCGCGTTAGCACAGGAGGCAGCAGAGGAAGATTTGGGGGGGGCCCGTCTCCAAAACCAGGCACCTGTTCTGCAGTAAAAGGCAACGGAGCCAGACGAGGTCTATGCTGCACGAAGGGGTAAAAGCAAAGCTGCTTTCGCCTCTGAGCTCGTCCCGGTTCGGGAAGGCTGTTTCCCCCCTGCAGCTCCCCGAGGGGCTGGGGAAGGCTGAGCTGCCCTCGCCCTGCTGCGCCGTTCTCTGCCGTCTCCTGGGGACTGTCCTCCGGGGACTCCAAATGCCAGCTAAGCCAGAGAGCCTTGCTTCATCTCTAACTTAACGTGACAGCAGCAACAACAGGGTTGTAGGTTTTAATTAGGTTTTCCTTTTGTTTCCTCTGTTTTCTTCACGCTTTGCTTTGCTGCTGCTTTGTGCAGGCTCTGTCTTGTTTTTCATTTTCCCTCCTGCTCGATGCTAACCTGAAGGGATTGAAGGCAAAAGGGGGAAAGGAGTGAGACAAATTCGCTGTCTGAATCCACCTTTAGGTGCTGGGGATGTGCTCTGTAACACATGCTCTGCCCGGAGG